TGTGTTGGGTTTGGTGTAATCGTAGGTGTGGAGAATAGGCCGAGTTTGTAGTGGAGTGAGTTTCGTGTTTTGCAGGCAAGTTTTAAAAAGAAAACCGAAATTTAAGAAAAAAAAACAATTAAATTCAGAAAGAAATGCCAATAGACTAATATCGATGGAAATTGAAACCGCACAAGTAAGTAAAAAAAAATGTTTCACTTTTATTTCCTTTCTGTCTACTTAGCATAAAAGCTGGTAGATTCGGGCATCAATGAAGAAAATGCCAACTTGGAGAATGAAATAAACACGGATATAAAACAGGCGCACTGGAATAAAAAAAAATACGTGAAGCTAAGTGGTGTATTGAATAATGATTTCGAATTAATTAATCAGAGAGCCGAGTTCCAGTACTAGTTGCGTTCGTTATATTCCTTTACACACATGTATTCAGCTCTTCTTCCCAGCTGTGGGTTAATTAGTAATCCTTTTATAAGTAAACCATTATAATCTTCAAATGTAAAAATAAAATTGCGTACAAAGTATTTAGATTTCGGCGTTAACTAACTCATAGAATATTATTTACATTATTCGGAGTATTGTTCACATATTTGTCTCCATATTTCTTACAAGATTTCGGCCGTTGAACGCTCCGGCCTTCTTCATGTGGTTGGAATGTAGAACATAATACCTCATCTCAGAAACATAGACAGATACTGACAAAGATGAGGACAATATTTCGGATAATGTAAATCTCTATCTATAAAAGGCAAGATATGTGTGTGTGTGTGTGTGTGCGTGTGTTTGTGTGTGTGTAACGAATGCACGGCCGCAATTTTCGACGGATTTGCACCAAAATTTAGATGCACATGCTCCAACTCGCATCCATAGTGGAAATAATCGATTTTTTATGCTTCTACTGCAGTTTTTATGTAGTTTGCGGCCATTTTCTACTAGCCAGAGTGAGAGCCTAAAGCTGGCTGCCACGAATAGGCAGGAAGATTCTATTGGCCAGCGAGAGAGCCAACAGCTGACTGACACGAATGTTAACTAGCATGCAAAAAAAATCGATAGCTGCATTCGTCACAAGTGGGAAAAATTTAAATCTGCATGAAACTTTACTCCAATTGGCTCATTCGCTTGCTTAAACTCAACGTTGATTTTGATTCCGCAGAATTGGGTTGGGTGTGAAAAAGTATTTGTTGTTAACATTCTTTTTCCATTCGGTTTTTCTAGTTACGAGTCCTTTTTTAAAGCTGATCGTTTTGTGTTCATTTTAATTAGTTCTTTTTTCGTAACAGATTTAATGTTTAGTATAGAGCTTAGAAAAATTCGCAGTGTGAGATAGGCAAGAAATAAGGCATGTAGCTATATGAGTCGTACGATTTTTTAATCAAGTACGGGCAACGCCGGGTCATGCTGCTAGTAATGTATAGAATAACTCATCTCAGAAATATAGACAGATAACTCATAGAAACTGATATGCCGCGAAACAAAAACAAGTATTTAAATTAGAACTAGACATCGAAGTTTGAATTCTGGTTGAGTTAGTTACACTCACTTTCGTACAATGAGTCTTATGAAAGGTATAACAGTGGCAGGGATTAGGCTCTCTAAACGGGGTTGGCAACCAATCGAGACGTATAACTCTGAACTGCAATCTCCGCAATATGTAATATAATTCTAGACACAGTACGGTGATTCTATGGGATTTCAACAAAAAATAAAAATATATATATATATATATATATATATATATATATAAATTTAATGAAAAACAGACCACTTTAAGGTAACATTACAATAATTTATTTCACCAAAATCCTTTTTAAAGGACTCCGGATCATCAGGTAAATTCCAACAACGAAATGAAAAGAATAATGGGATTAGAAATTGACGGGTAGTGTAATTTTTGTAATTTAACAGGGGGTGAGAGTTGTAGTTAAAGAGACAAGGTAGAGTATAGGGAGGGTTTAACTTCATATCTCTCTTAAGCATGCTTTATATTGTGGTAGGAGAGGTGACCGAACCTTGACCTATTTAGATGGTTAACTTAACGGAAATGATATATGGTTAACTTAACTATATATATATGATTTTAATGTATGCTATATTTATGGATAAAGGTACTCAATGTCCACTTTTATATTTACATACGCTCTATCTCTGATATTAAGCATTTTAAGGTGTAAATATAGCATACATTAAAATGATATTTTTATCATATATATATATATATATATATATATATATATATATATATATATATATGTTTTAATTTAAAGAAAACCTGATAACTTTAATTTTCCATAAGGTTATAATTTGTTTCCCCAGGGATTTTATTGTTCACTGGATCATCAAATTTCTCTGGTTTTCTTTAAATTAAATTTTTCGCTCTGATTTAACATTGGGCTCTGTGAATTTCATCCTCCTTGAGATTATCCATACGGATTACCAATATTTTCATGATTCAACATATACATATATATATATAAAGTCCGACAATTATTTTAGGGACATTTTTATGTTTATAAATTCTTTTTATAGATACAAATATTTAAGTAAATACTCTGTTTTATAATAAACAGTATTAATAACATTTACCAGCCTGAATGTCCAAGAAATTTTCATAGAACATATTCGTCCTCCGACAGGATTCGAACCTGTATCCTATACTGAATCGTCATTTAGCCTGACGACCCTTAACCGGTCGAGCCATGTTCTATTGGCAAGGTCGATTTTACTACTTTTAAACTTCAATCTTCCATGAATCTCTCACGTACATTTATATCTGCTCAGACAGCTTAAGACATTTTCATATTTATGCATTATTTTTATAGATACAGGATACAGTATTCAGAGAAACATATTCATAATCTAGAGTATCTTAGATGTATTTATTAATATTTAGTAGTATGTACTTTAAACTAAGGACCAGTTCCATCGGAGTTAATTCCCTGTATTTCATTCAACAAATTCTGTAAGTGGCATCTTTTGTTTTATTATATATATATATACTAAGGTGGCCAGAATGTCCTTACTCACGTAGGAAGCGGAAAGAATTCAAATCTTGCTATGTGCCTGAGTAATTTCCAAGGAGAACTGCATTTCGAGGTTGTTCCACACGGTCGTATCATTAACACTAAATTGTATTGCCAGCAGCTAGATCGTTTGTACGACAAAGTAAATGAGTACACTACTTTAGTCAATCGAAGTCGGGGTTGTTTTAGCAAGACAACGTGAGTTCATGCACTGCCAGATTGACTAAGAAGTTAAAAAAGATGGACGGTGTTGAGACACTTCCACATTCACCATTTTGTCCCGATGCTTCTGCGAGGGATTATGGTCTATTTTGCTCAATGGAAAACATCCTCCGCGATCTGCAAGTCAACACTTTCGATAGATTTTGTATTTGTGAGGCAATATCTCTTTTTGCACCATTTCTTACTCAAGGTGTCTCCATAGGTTTTTAATTCAGAGCTCTCCATCGATTAGACTAGTTGCTGGCAACACCCAGCGAGCTCACCGTGCCCTTCTTTTTAACTCATAGCTTTGGGGAGAGTGATGGATTAATATATTTTGCAATGATCATCCTTTACATCTAGCGACGTAAATCCCCACACTGCAATACTTTTGATTATTATGTGCGGCGTGCAGTTGAGCGAGAGACCAACAAAGCTACTAGTAACACCAACGATGATCTGAAGGCAAGGTTTATGGCAACAGTCACCAACCTAAACAAGGTGACGTTTCAGAAGAGTTGCAGATGATTCCGAAGTAGTATGGAGGGCGTGGTTGAAGCCATTGGCAATTTTATTGAATAAATTTACTCTTTAGTATTTCAAGATACGTTTGTGTAATTTTGGTAAATATATCTGTTAAAAGAGATGTCATTGTTATTTTCATATAGAATAATTTATCCATCGCACCATGTATGTTAGTCGAATGACTTTTTTGTGCCATTTACTTTTCTGCTTCTCTATGTGTGTTTTTGAGTCTGTTTCTATATGGGTGAGTCTGTGTGTATACAGGTGTGTCTGTGTGTATATAGGTGCGTCTGTGTGTATACGGGTGTATTTGTGTGTATACGGGTGTGTCTGTGTGTGAGCCTTTATGCGTTCATTTGCATATTACTCATTTGTACATTACTTAGATCACTCAAACATCTTACTTTCAAAAAATTGAATTACATCCCTTTTTTTTTCTTCCCTACGATGATAATTTATATATTAATGTCTACTTTATTTTTCCCAATCCGCTTGTAGGAATGGATTTTATTTACGGTTTAAAATCTATTGTTTTTATTTATATAGATAAAATTGTCAGGCATTTCTGTTTACTCCTATACGTCTTTATTTATTTTGGCACAGATGTATTTAAACACACACACACACACATATATATATATATGCAAATATATATATATATATATATATATATATATATATATATATATATATATATATATATAGTATTTGCTGTTGATTTGGGAATTTTATGAATATATAAATTGATGTTTTAAAACACGTCATGTTTTCGCGTATATTGCATAAATATTTACACTCTGCTGTTACACAGAGGCAAACGCACACACACAGAGACATACAGACACACACATATATATATATATATATATATATATATATATATATATATATACATACATATATATATAAATATATATATATATATATATATATATATATATATATATATATATATATATATGTTCTGATTTACGTAAAAACCACAAGCATAATCAATGCACATACAATCATACACTCACACATATCCAATTTGAAATCCCCAGCAGCAACTTTTGAAGTTCCCATAATATTAGTGAATGTGCATGTGGTTAGCCAACAAACTGGAATATTTTAGTCGTTTTTTGCCCTCCCTGATCACGTCTTAGCACGGATTTCCTCCCTTTTTTAAAACTCCATTTTTTATTTGCCATTTGTTCCATCATCTTTACCTTTTTCATTCAGCGTTCAATTTTATGAGTTTTTAAAAACTTTCCCACCATGTTCTTTGTTTTCAGTAAGGCAATTTTGCATATTTTCTCTTGGCGTCTCTTCCCTATTTACTTTTCTTCTTCTTCGTCTTCTTCGTTGCCTATTTTTTATAAGATTTCACAAATACCATATTTTCTTCTCTTCTTCTCCCTCTTGTTTTTTTTTATTTGTGAATAGATTTTACAAGCACTCTTTTATTAAGCTTGCGATTATATTTATCAATATCTTGTTGGCTTACTGCCGCATTAGGTTGAAACACCGATGCTCGTACGAACACCGAAGTTAAACAATGTCAAGCCTGGTCAGTACTTAGATGGGTGACCGCTTGAGAATACCCTGTTCTGTATGTTTGAATGCACAGATGATGTAACGTATAAATGGTAGGGCTTGGAAATTGGATTGGCAAGCTCCAATTCCTGTCGCGTTTGTTATATTCAGTTACGCGCAAATACCGTTGGAGAAAGTGTGAATCCATCTCACCTACCTATGGTTTAATTAGTAGAACTTGTATCAATAAATCATTATTAGCTCCAAAAATCTTCTTACATTCTAAAAAATATTTTCTGGCTCTAAATAACCTGCAAAAGGTTGATAAGCCGTAAAAATCAATTTTCTTATTCTTTTCTCTATTAATTAGACTGGATTATTTCGCAACACGCCCACGTGTTCGAATCCTCACGGTATTTAGTATTGTAGAAGTTACCGCTAAAAAATTGTGTCGACATTTACAAACACTTGATTTCGTTCGGTTTTGCAAACCAGTCGATGAGCGTCCTGAGTAAGACGATAAACTACATCCAACAGCAAGGCCTCTGATCAGGAGGTTTTGAGCAACATGGAACCACCTCTTAATTATGGTGTTCCCAGGTCCACCATGACTCGGGGTGGTAGCACCTCCTAGGGTTCCAGCTATGGGTACATAGTTAACCCCCAAACTGGGGTCAAAACACTGTGTAAGTGTAAAAATAGATTTTAATACCAGAAATACTTTTTGTAAAAATATTATTGCCAGCAATACATTTTTTGAAGAAAATATTACCAAAAATAGAGTTGTGAAGGAAAAAAAATTATTAGCAGCAACAAAAATTTTGTCGGTATTAAATAATCCATTGAGGTTGATATGCCATAAACCAAACCAAACCAATCGATGAAATTTGACAAAACCCCTGCTCCGTAGTTTAAGAATTTTTTTTAAATTTAATTTTATAGGACTTCAAGGTAAACAATATTTTGAAAAAAAATTATTCTTTTTCCTTTTACCTTTTAATAGCTAATAATATATTATTAGGATTTCTTACTCTTGATCATACAACGTACAACTAGCTATGCATAATTTTTTTTTCTTTCTGGAGACAAATTCCAACTTTTTGAATCGTTTGAACTGATGATTTTTTTATAGTTCACAAACGCAAGGTGAACTGGAAACTGGATTCTTGTATATATAAAATCTTAAAGAAATGATCTGCAATTTTATTAAATGACTATTTGTTATTCTAATTATTAAGTTTTTTTATACATATTTTTTATAAAATATCGGAGGTATTTTGTATGTTAAATAAGAATACATTTAATATTTCCAAACAAATTAATGAAAATTTATTGTATTAAGTTACCCTGGTAAAACCAATTGTGTTTTTTACCGTTATATGTTTGAACTTCTCCCAAAAATTTTGGTTCGATCGGTCAGATTATGGCTATTTTAGAGGGTGTGATGGTCTGTCGGTTTAATGGAAGTCACAGAATTCTATATATAGATTTCAATACTCTCTCATTTTTCTTTTTTTCTATAATGTGCTCTATATCCCCTTCTTTTCTATTTATATGTTAGATTTCTTTAACATTCCTTCCTTCCTTTCTTCCTTCCTTCCTCGCTGTATACCTTTATTTTCTTCCTTTTCTCTAACCTTCTTGATGATTCAGCATCCTCCAACAAGTAGCAAAATTGTAATCCTTAATATAGCATTCTAATTTTGCAGCTTCTTGATCTCTGTCGCATACAATTTTTATATTCCAGTTCCTATTATTACCGACAATTTCTCACTCCCACTCTTTTTCATCAACTATTTATTCAAATCGCTGTTTCCCCCGTGTCTTTAATTGTCCTTTCTTTCTCGTTTTTGAGACGTGTATTCCATATTTGTTCTGTTTCTTTCTCTTCGTCTGCATGTAGTTCATTCTTTAACGTCTTTTTTTTTTTTCGCTGTGAATATTATTCCGTCAGTTTTATTTATACGTAGTTATCATTTTATCCGAGGTTACGGAAATTATTTCATATCTTTTTTTTTCTTTTTCCTCCAACTGCTTCAAGGTTCATCCTCTTTATCTACTCTTTCATTCTTCTTCTTCTTCTTCTTCTTCTTCTTCTTCTTCTTCTTCTTGGTTAGATTTCGCAAATATCTTATTCTTTTTCCTAATATTTTTCCTACTTCGATTATTTTGCGATAGATTTTCCACATATCTATTTTCTTTTCGTTCTCATATTTTTCTTGTGTTTCTCATTCATATACTTTTCACTTTCAATTAGATTTAATATCTCTCACAATATTTTTTCTTTTTCTCTTTGGGATAAATTTCATTAATATCTTAGTCTTCTTCTTCAACTTTTCTTCTTCAGCTTCTTCTTATTCTTCTGCTTTTCTTCTTCAACTTATTCTTGTTTTTATACTTCTTCTTCTTCTTTTTCTTCTTCTTCTTTTTCTTCTTCTTCTCTCTTCTTCTACATCTTCCTCTTCTTCAGCTATTTCTTCTTCTTTCCCAGCTTCTTCTACTTCTTCTGCTACAGATTTTCTGCTCCAGCTTCTTTTTCTTTTTCTTCAGCTTCCTCTTCTTCATTCTCAGATTCTCCTTCTACTTCTTTTGCTTCAGCTTTTCTTTTGCAGCATCTTTTTATTCTTAAATTGTCTTCAACTTCTTCTTCAGCTTCTTCATCGACTTCTTTTTCTTTTTCTTCTTCTGATTGTTGTTGTTATTCTTCTTGGGCTTCTTCTTCAGTTTCTTCGCTCTCTCGTTCTTCTTCGGCTTCTGCTACTACCACTACTTCAATTTTTCTTCTTCTTCTTCTTCTTCTTCTTCTTCTTCTTCTTCTTCTTCTTCTTCTTCGGCTGCTGCTGCTCCTCCTCCTCCGCTGATCCAGTTATCTCGTTTATTTTTCTTATTTTCTTTTCTTTTATTCAACGCATTTCATCTGTACCTTTTTCCCATTTATTCATTTTTCTAATTATTTTCTCTTCTTCTAATTTTTTTTTCTATTCGATCTTTTTTTTTCTTTCCTGCCGTCTTTATTCCCTTATTACTTTCTTCTTTTCTTTTCCTTCTCTCACCATTTTTCTTTTTTTTTTCTCATCATATTTTTCTTTTCTTTTTCTTCTCTCATCATATCCCGAGTCGATTTTTCCTTATAATTAAACTTTCTTTCAACACTCATTCATTTATTTTTACTTTCTTCGTTGCTTTTTATAATTGTTTGTTCTTCTTCATTGCATCTCTTTCTGTTACTTTAAATCTTTTTTTTCTTCTAATTTTCTTCTATTTGTTTTTTTTTTTTTTTCTTACCATATTATTTATTAACCTTCTTTCCTTCCTCTATCTTTGTTTCTACCTTCCCCTTCTACGGTCTTCAGAATTGGGTTTGGTGCTGACTGCACTATCTTCAATGTCACCTTCGACTATTTTTGGCCAGATGGAGCACCAGCAGCAGGAGCAGCAGTCGCTGGGATGGCGGCGGCGGCGGTGGGAGAGTGACGAGACACCGTAACTGAAGATATGAACCAGTCGCACGGTGGACGCACGCAGTAAGTGGGTGTATGCAAGCGGGGCGGACCTTTCTCGAGACCAGGTTAGACAGGGCAACAACAACAACAAAAACGTGAAAAGGAATGGAGAAAAGGAGACTTTGAAACTGTCGCTAAATATAAGAATTCTCTGGTTGCTATTTTATATCATTTCAATATCAGCCCTTCCTGGCAACACCATTTTCTCTTTTCTTGAAATCACGTGACCTGAATGACTGAAATAGTAATAAGGCAAAATGAAAAGAAAAGAAAACATTTATTATTATTATCATTATTATTATTATTATTAATAATAATAATAATAATAATAATAATAATAATATGTATGTTCCCTGGTGGCCATCGCGTCAGGCAGTGTAGCGGAAATCTCGTCAATTCTACAGCATTCAGTTTCCTCGTCGAGTCAAACAATACCGATGTCTGGATAGTTTCACTTCTCTTTTCTGTTGTTTTTGGCTTCTAGTGGAGCAAACGATTGTTAAAATGATCCCATGCGAAGTCCTTGTGTTTTTCCAATTTCATTTTGTCTTCAAAATATCAACTTCTGGCACGGTTAGGTAGACTCTCTCTTCTTTCTTTACGACTATCAGATCAAATTTTGTCGTTCGCTTTATGTGGTCACCATGAACCTGAAATGTTCAAGGTGTCTACTTCCATTTATCTTTTATAACAATAGACTTCGATTTGTGCTGATGTGAAATTCCTTGAAATACTTTCAAATGCATCACAGGTTTTATACATATTTTGAAGCAATTTGTTTGCATTCTATGATCCATTTCCTTTTCGCCTATGTTCACTTTTATATTAGATATTTCACTTCAAAAAAGTCAGCAGGGCTGAGAGGGTGAAGGTTCAAACTCACAACAATTCCTGTGAAAAAAATTAACAAGATTTTTAAAGAAACAACATTCACAATGGCAGAGCAAACATCAGTAATCGGGTATAAAACGTTTATTGACTTATCGGAGATCCAAAGTCATTGATTTGTAGATGTCAGTGTCTATTTTATCGTTTTCATTGAAATATTGTAATATTTTGAAATAAAGCATGAAATCCTTTATTTAAAAATATGATAACTACATTTGGCAAGAACAGATACTACATTTTGATCTCAGTAAAAGGCCATTGGTTTACCAATCCACCACAAAATTATTCAGAATTGTAATATTTTAAAATAAAGAATGAAATTCTTTACTTAAAAATAAGATAACTACATTTGGCAAGAACAGATACTACATTTTGATCTTAGCAAAAGGCCTTTGGTTTGCCTTCCACCACAAAATTATTTGGAATTGTAATATTTTAAAATTCTTCAATTTCATTCTGTTTGATTATATTAGTTTCCGATATTCCTGAGTATTGAATACATTTTTCTGTTGAGAGTTGCGATAATTTCTTGGTTTGGCATTTCCTACTTTTTTTTCTTTGTAATTTTGATTGCTGCATAACGAGTTTTGTAAATTTCCCTCTGCCTACCTTTTTTCTGATGACCTGCTTGAAAAAAAAATTCTATCCGTTTTGTATTAAAATCTCATTTTTGTTTTATCTTATTTTTTGTTTTGGTTTTTATTCCCAACGAAAATGTTTTTGTTTTTTTTTTAATCAAGTTCACCCAAAGCAAAACAGTAAAGCCAATACTACACAAGGTGGGTGCTGGGTGTAATAGAAAACAGAAACATTACTAAGGAGCAATAAAACAAAAAAAGAGTAATCACGAAGACTAACATATTATTTCAATTTTTGAAGATTAATGTTGGCGGGAAAGCACGGAGACAGAAGAGATTTCCACAAATCAAGTAATTCTTATTTGTATTATTTACACGGGGAATATTGTCCTCAAATTTGTTGTTGCTATTACCTGTTTGAATATCTCGGCTGTGGTGCTAGACATTATTTAGACTATTTATATCCTATTTTCTCCAACTTTATTGTTGCTATAAGCTGACTGAAAATCTCGGCTGAGGTGCAGCCAGTACTTAGGCTATTTATCTGTTGACTATTTTCCCTATCGTTCTTGTTGCTATCACCTCTCTTAATACCTTGGCTGAGTTGCTACCATTAGGTAGACTATTTATATGAAGACTATTTTCCCTATCGTTCTTGTTGCTATCACCTTTCTGAATATCTCGGCTCAGTTGCTACCATCAAGTAGACTATTTATATGGGGACTATTTTCCATATCTGTCTTGTTGCTATCACATGTTAGAATATCTCGGCTCAGTTGCTACCCTTAATTAGAATATTTATATGCTTACTATTTTTTCCTATCGTTCTTGTTGCTATCACCTCGCTGAATATCTCGGCTGAGTTGCTACTATTAAGTGGAGTATTTATATGAGACATATTTTCCTTATCTTTCTCGTTGCTATCATCTGTCTGAATATCTCGGCCGAGTTGGGCACCTCGACATGGTGTAATGGTTAGGAAGCTTGTCTTGCTAGATCAATTACGACTGAGTGGTGAGTTCGATCCTCACTGGGTACCCCATACTTTCGGCCTTGTGCCACATCTAAGCCGGGTTTAGAAAATCGCTATCTCGGCTGAGTTGCTACCATTAAGTAGACTGTTTATATACAGACTATTTCCCCATCTTCCTTGTTGATACCACCAGTCTGAATATCTCAGCTGAGTTGTTACCATTATTTATATCCCATTTATTTTTGACCATCTTTATTTTTTTATCAGTTATGTCCCATACGCGTAGGCGATTATGTATCTTTCGATACATAACTGACCAAGCAGATTTTTTTCCCGCAGTAGTTTGCCATTTCTGTCATGGATAGACCAGTCGGCATCCAAGTCTATAGAACCCGGTGTGTCCTCCTATTTACCTGGGGGTGAGTAGAATAGGATTCATACCTTTCCCAATGGTATTAGCACATACCTGAATGTAATGCATTTATCTGGAATTCGAATTGACTGGAATTCGAACTTGCTGCTCTCACCTGTGTGAATATCTCAGCTGAGGTGCTACCATTATTTAAACTATTTACGTGCTGATTATTTTCCTAAAAAAAGAAATGAAAGCGGTATTGTTATCTTTACTATGTTCAAATGCAACATGACTTTCTGACTAACCAAACATTGGCTACGTTATCGCTGTATTCAAGATTAATGTCACCCTAATTTGGAGACAGTTAACGATTCACGTTGTCAGATCACGTCGGAAGCATTTGTTTATAGACTGTGTCAATTCGAGATTCTCGTTTTTGGATTAGTCTCGTTCTCCAATATTTTGCTCGATGACTGGAAAGACACTTATTCAACGTCCATTTTCGACAGAATTTATCTAACGTATAGTAGATGTCTTCGACAAATAGTCCAGCACGAATCTTCCACCTTTAATTAATTATATTAGTTCATTTTTCCGCGGATCCATTCTGTTTTAGAATAGTTCTTTCCTTCGTTGTCATTTACAAGATTTTATATTCCTTAACCACTTGCGTTGCTGCTATCCTAGTCGTTCGCGTAAATATTTGAATCACATCAACGAGAATATATGGATTCCTTCGTGGCCCGTCGCTTTCAAGAATTTTATTTTTAAGATGTCTTGACTTTTTTATTTCTCTGTCAGTTTTCATTTTAGTTACTTTAACTAATTTCTTTATTCTTTTATAATTAAATTTCCTCTAACTCATCAGGTTCTCTTATTTTCCTCGCTATTTCATCCTTGACCTGACTGCAAATTCTACCGTCATTGTTCTTGAACAATTATTTTATTATAATTATGCCG